AACATTGTTCCATGTTATTTTCCATAATACCTATCAAAAAACAGATCAAACAAAAAAAACCATACACTGACTGTGGTAGTCCCATGCCATACCCACGCCAAATACATCCAGCATTTTCTTGCTGAAATGCCTAAGTATCTTTTGTCCACTAAGATAAATTCTACCCTGCCCTTTATGGTCAGCTTAAGTCTCTCCATCTTTTCCACCAAGTTCTGATACCCCAGGCTCAGAGATCTTTTTCTCCAAAAGTACTTATGGTATTAGCACTTTGAATATGCTATATTACGTTGTTCTGTCTCTTGTTTTGCAAAGACAATAAAGAAAAAATGGCCTGGCCAGCGTGGTTCAGTGGTTGAGCATCCACCTATGAACCAGGAGGTTGAAGTTCAATTCCCAGTCAAGGCACACGCCCGGGTTATGGGCTCAATCTCTGGTGTGGAGCGTGTAGGAGGCAGCTGATCAATGATTCTCATCATTGATGTTTCTATCTCTCTCTCCTTCTCCTTTCCTCTCTGAAATCAATAAAATATATTTAAAAAATAAAGAAAAATGTCATAAGTATAAAAAAGGCATTTTATGCTTATTTTTCCAGCACATTGCCAGAAGAGACTATTATTTTTGTTCTTAATAGAAAGTCTTTACAGCATCTCCAACTAGAATGAGAATAACGTATCAGCCACTAGGAATTAATACAGAAAAGACTAAAAATAATAACCTCTCCCTCAGTGTACCTCTGTATCTGAGGCTCTCCCTGTCTCACTTTGTTTCTCAGTTTTACCTGTATCTCGAGAGGCCTTTCACACTGTCTCTCTACCACTGAAAAACTACAAACAGTCATTATTTTACGTTATATACTTCCTTATAATCATTCATGTGAAACCAGTGTATTAAAATTATACCCTTGCTATGATTTTAACAATGTTAAAAATATGCATGTATCAACAAAGACTAAGGAACTTAGAAAAAATAAAATAGCTAATATGTTTAAGTGATTTGCCTTTATTATTTCTTATAATGCTATAATATATTTCACTCAACAAATAATCAAGAGAAAAAGTCCTTCAAATATATTTTTCTTTAATGATTCCTTATACTGTGAAAGAAAAAAGTGGGTTTTTCTAAGAAATATGACTATTTCTGGCTTCATCTTATTTCTGAATTCCCTTTTGCCAAATATCAAATACCTACTATCTGATAAAGATTGGGGTTTGGGATTCTAGTTGACCCTTGAACCCCCATACCCCAACTCCATGCAGTTAAAAATACACTTATAACTTTTGACTCCTCAAATGTTAACTACTAATAGCCTACTGTTGAATGGAAGCATTACCAATAACACAATATTCTTACAATAAAGTAAGCTAGGAAAAAGAAAATGTTAAGGAAGAGAAAATACACTTAGAGTACTGGACTGTACTTATCAATACTGTAAGTTTACATTGTTTGTGTAGAAGAATGAAAGAAACCCATGTATATCATCAACCCATGCAGTTCAAATCCGTGTTGTTCAAGGGTCAACTATACTTGCAAAAATGCATCTCTCCACTTATAAGAATAAATCAGGAGCTGATTGAAGATGCTGTAAGTACTCTGCTAAAAACACCAACTAACTTTTTATTAGCCTTCAAGGCAGGTGAGAGAACTGAAATTTCATATCAATAGTCTTCCTTTACTTATGTTACTTTATTAGAATAACTATCTTACCGGTTCTTCCACTTCTCCACTAGCATGCTGAGCTTCAGCTTGTAGGTCTATAGGTGGAGCATCTTCCACAATTCTTTGAACAGACATCTGAATAAACTCATCAAAAGAATCCAGCTGTTGTCTGACCAAGCCTTTCTCGTCAAAATAGGAACTAGGAAAATATTTGAGTCCATAATTAGTCACAACACAGTGAGTGATGTCTTCTAGTACATTTCCCCATTTTCATTAAAATTAAATTCAACAGTTATTAAATACCAACCACTATATGCCCATCACCACAGAAGATACTATGAAGTATCCAAAATTGGGGTGAGACTTTGAAAACTGTCTTTGTAGAACTTGTTAAGTTTGTGGAAATAAGACTTATACTTATGAGTAAAATAATTAAAGCACAACATAAGTGGAAGATGGGAGAGGGTTGGGAGAGGTTAATGGGGGAAAAAGGAAGACCTATGTAATACTTTCAACAATAAAGATTAAAAGAAAGAGAAAAAAAGGCACAACATAAGAATTATAATGGACGCCAGCACCGGTTTGGCTCAATGGTTAGAGCGTCGGCCTGTGGACTGAAGGGTCCCGGGTTTGATTCCAGACAAGGGCATGTGCCTTGGTTGCGGGCACATCCCCGGTGGGGAGTATGCAGGAGGCAGCTGATCGGTGTTTCTCTCTCATCGATGTTTCTGTCTGTCCCTCTCCCTCCTCTCTGTAAAAAATCAGTAAAATATATTTAAAAAACAAAACAAAACAAAGAAGGAAAAGCCAGTTTGGGAATTACTTTTAAGAAATATTTCATTTTGTCTGATGGACATGTCCCCCCAACCGCCTTTTTGACACCTCAGTGATACCTAATTCATTCCAGAGCTATTTAGTAAGTACCTACTATGTGCCATAT